GCTGCTGTGCCAAATGGATGGATTTTAATAAATGTTGGCTTTCTCTTGGGCTGAGGTTGGGTGGGGAGAGAGAATAAAGGGAAATTTAAACCATCCTGTGACTGCTGTGTTGTCAGTGAGCTACAGCAATGCCGTCCCTTTGTTTTGGATGCTCAACTCCGTCTGACTTCATTGTTGCTGGATTTTGGCACGTTACACTCTGGGCTTCTCCAGCAGCAGAAACACATGGTGTGTTAAAGTGGGAATCTTTGGGGACGCGGAGGCAGAGGAAGGAGCCAATCATACGTGGCTTTTGCACATTGCCTGCTTTGCAGCTTTGCGGAAAGCTTTCCGGATGGTGCGGATGGCAGGTACGCGTGTGCCCAGCAGGGCGGAGGGCAGCGGGGCGCGGAGGGGCCGGGGCGCTGGCGGGGCCGGGATGTGCCCCGGCCGCGGGGCTGCCAGGCAGGCAGGCTCCCCTTCCCTTCTTCCCTTCCCTTCCCTTCCCCGCGGCCGGCTGCCGAGCCCGCTCAGACCTGAGCGGAATCCTAACGCCGCCGCAGATTATAATGCATAGCGAGCAGCGCTGCCCGGGCGGTGGCAGCGGCCACGCGGGGCACAGCCTGTCACCGCGCAGCCCGCTCCTTTGTCACAGCCCTTTTCATCTCCGTGCTTGCCTTTTGTTTCCCAATCAGACCCTAGAAATTCATTAACAGCAATGAACGACGGGGATGCAAAAACCTATAATGAAAACAAATGATCTATTTAAACGGTGCTGGGGCTGAAAGGAGGGGGTTCGTGGCGCCGGGAGTAGAGGAGAAGGAAATCCTGCCACCTGGAAAATGCCTGGACATGCGTGTCCTTCCCCGTGCCAAGGCTCCAAGGAAACAGCTACTACAAAGCCGGTGGTGTGTGTAAAGATGTTGTAGCATTGTCTTTACAGAGCCTCAAACATATACCAGCGACTGGTCAGAAGGAGAGGTCGGTGCTCATTGTCCCTGCTCCGGCTGCCGGTAATGCCGGAATTCTCTCTGGTACTCGATGGGCTTTAATTGGAAACCACTTGCAGTGCCCGTAAAGATTTAAAATCACTTGACTTTTAAAATCACTCGAGTTGGTTCACACGGGTGCCCTGCCCGGGCCCAGCAGGGTCCTTCAGCCAGCAGCCCCGACGGGAAGGTGTGGTGGCCACCGGGGACAGCACCCACCGGGCTCCGCCACTGCCCCGGACCTGGCCCCAGGACGCTGGACCTGACACCACGGCTCTTCAGGTGTCCTCCTCTCCGTGTTATTTCTTAAACAGATTATTTCACAAATGATACTGTCCCTTAAAGTGTCACATGGTTGTGAGAATAAAAAGATTTAATCTCCAAGCATGACCTTTTTATCAGAATTGATCGAATAAGAGAAAAACTGAAATAATCTATGTTGTATGATTTCTATTTGTAAATTATGTGTGTGGGCTTTAAATATCACAGAGGCACAACTTATGTATTTGTCAAGAGGATTTTTAGGCAAATCTTAATGTCCTCTGCCCCAGAGCTCCATGCCCAGGCTGAGTGTGCCCATCTGTGAGGTCACACGTGCAGCCAGGGACACCCTTCCCTGCCCCCAACATGGCATCCCCAAAAATGTGTCACTGGCACAGCTCTCTGAGCTCCAAGAGTCGGTAATTTGTACCTCTGGGAAGCAAAAATGTGATCAGGGAAAAGGGAAATGGGCTGCAGCTCCTTTGTCACTCTGTACCCAGCTCTTACACTGGCTGGGTCCATGAGCAAAGGCTCCAGGATCTGTGTCCAGTGAGGTATCCCACGATTTCCAGCTGACTTCATCAGCTAAGAATCACAGACAGACAGCAGAAAGATTTTATCTGTTGCAGGAACTGAAGAAGATCTCTCAACACCTGCCACACGTCCACATTTTTCAGCAAGGAAAACAACAACAAACTCTTGTCTGAGGAAACCTCTCCAATTTGTACCTGGTAAAGACATGCTGTATAATCTTACTCTAATGGACTTCAATCTATCTCCACAATTAGATAAACAAATTAAATCCCTTAAGAACCTTCAAAATTTATCCTAAAACTTCCACCAGCCCTTATCATTAACGCTTTAATTGTAAAGGAGCAAATAATGGTGAAATCACAGAATTATAGAATGGTTTGGGTTGGAAGGGACCTCAAAGCTCATCCAGTGCCACCCCATGTGCTGTGGGCAGGGACACCTCCCACTGTCCCAGGTGCTCCCAGCCCTGTCCAGCCTGGCTTGGGCACTGCCAGGGATCCAGGGGCAGCCACAGCTGCTCTGGGCACCTGTGCCAGGGCCAAATGTTTGCTGTGTGCTCAGGTTCCTGCTGACCATGGCTGGACTGTTGAGGTGGTGCCAGTGGGATTTGGAGCCGCTGAAATAAAACCACATTTTCACAGCAGCTTCTGAAAGAGCCTTGTGCTAGTTAAAAATTATTTTGGAAAATCACATGAGAACTGTCTCTCATATGCCAGCATATCACTCAGGTGATGAGCTGCAAACACAATTTTCTTGGTATTGAAATAAAATAGAGGAAAGTTACTAAAAATATGTTACACTCTTATACCAGAAGATCAAGATGTGCATTAAAAGACAGTAACAAATACCCTCTTGCACCCTGAAATACAGCCTTGGTCCCATGTTCTCCCCTTCCTCTGCACTTATGGAAGAGCAATTAGCCCATAAACAGGTAATTAAAATAATACCCCATAATTACATCTATGAAACTACCACAGAGTATGAACAAGGGCCTTTTTCTCACCAGGCTGAAATCAAAGCCTTCAGGTTAATGACCAAGAACCATTCTGACTACCATGGAGAAGAAAGTTCCTTTTTACAGGGGAAGTGAACAGTGTGTTCTACTGACACAGAACCAAAATTGCTGATTTTTCTCCCTCAGCTGGTTAAGGCCTGGGGTCTCTTCTGAAAGCACGTAAGCCTCAGAATATCCTGCCCTTTGGCAAGATAGAATTGTACCTACTTGTACCAACTGTACAGATTTAAAAGTTACAATTCTGCTAAACAAAAGGCAGTTTTCCCATGGACATTAGAAGAGTAATTCTCCTCTGGAGGCTTTCTCCTTGTCTTCTTTCTTTCCTTCCATACTCACCTCACACTTGCTTTTCATCACCTGTGTATGTTCCTTCAACACAATTTAACCTGCAGTTTTAATTAACTGAGATGCTCAAACCAATCACTCCAAAGCTCTCAGAGGCATTCACCACTCATCTCTTCTGTGTCACTCCTGTACCAGGTTTTCTTTGGAGTTTGTGTCACCTTCTCACAGCCCCATAGCCCTGCTCAGTCTGATGAAGCTCTGAGGGTGGGCAGGAATCCATCCCACAGCATAATCCTACTTTGTCCTACCACTGTCATTAATGGAAACAGCACACAGATTGGTCCCAAAATGGAGTTCTTTTGCAGGCACTACACAAAATCAGTGAGGACATCATAGTGTGAGAAAGTCACAACTGGCCCTCTCCAAAATCTTTCCAACTGTCCCCATGCAACCCCCTCCACTTGCTCCTGTCCCTCCTTCTCAGACCTTTTCTGTCCTTTCTGTGCTCCATCCATTGTTTCCCCCCCTCATTCTCTTATCAAAATCAAGAACACTGACCCCAGGGAAGGTGGGATTTCAGCATTGCCATTCCTCCACAAAATCTCTGGATTCAGTTTATAACACCTGAAGAACATTACTCATCCCCTCAAAGAACACCAAGTCCTGGAACATTTCCTAACTAAATTGCAAAAGCAGATGCTTTCCTCAGGATCCTCTGAGCTATTGAGAGCACAAAGCAAATGAGAGTTTGCCTATCACACAATTTGCCCAGGTTTCTGTTACATTTATAAGTCTGATGATTCTCAAGAACTTGAAGTGTGCACTTGTGTTGTAAACAAAATACTTCAGATAAAAATGTAGGAAGAGGAAAGAAACCTTCTTTAAAGGATAAAACCCCACCAAGAACTAAATACACAGAAAAAAAATCCAACTCCAAATTTTGCATTTCTCAGTTTTCCATGAAGATAGAGAACTCTGATGAGTATTTTTTTAAATCTGCCATTAATGTTTCCTTTGCTACCAGTATCAAGGTTAGTTTGGTAATACCAAGTATTCCAGAGATTATGAATGACCTTATAATGACTAAGTATATGCAATGTATTAAAAACAGGTACTTCAAAGTAACTCACTGAAGTCTGTTTACACACAAAATAATTTTTAATGAAATTACTACACTTGGACCACAGGTATTTTTCCAGTGCCAAATCTCATGGTGGAGATACTGGTAGGAAGGAAAGGAATATTTGTCCTATGTTCAGGAAGGTGTGTTTTCTGTCAGCACATCATTTACCATCTATTTGAGAAACTTATATTTATGAATTGTAACATACCATCCAAATACGATTTACTTTCACCAATTCACATGGAAAATGAACCAGATCAGGAGTCTCACCCTTTCCTCATCCTTCCTTATGGCTGTTTGATTAGGACAGACGTTCAAGGGACAGTATCCTATTAAGAACATTAAGTCAAGGGCACTAATCACTTGGCCTGTTCTTTAATGACAGAAACTAACATTTAAGGACCACATAAATAATCAAACAACAGAGCCCTGATGATTCTTCACCAGCCCAGACAGAGCTGCAGCCTGGCAAGGCTTTGTAGACATGTATGAAAAATACAATCAATGGATGGCCTTGTTCAAAAAACACATTTTCACTGAAAGTAAGAGCAGCCAACACTACTGGCCAGCGAGTGAGGTGCTCAGAAACACTTCAGGCAGGTGGCATTTAAACAAAGCCACAGCACCATGAGGAGAAGGAGGAGAGAGCAAACCCTGCAGCTCAGGGAGCACAAACCCTCAGCTCTGCCTGAGAACAGCTCTGTTACATGTAATCACATCTCTCCTAATCCAGGTGATTTACATTACACATCCCAGGAGGGCCACCAACACAAAAATCACTTCTACAAGGCTTATGAAAATTAGGTCTTCCTACCTCACTGTGGAAACGTGGAGATGTCGCAGGATCTGGTGCCGATGAGCAGAGCAGGGGAGATGGTTCCTATTCAGACCAGAGAAAGTCAGTACTTTTCAGTACTCTCCAGATCAAAGACTGCCAATAAAAGAATGGGAAGAATATAATGTATTTTGAAGGATTTAGAATAATGCAGCAAAAGAAACAGAAGTTTGGGTACAGCATGGAGTCATTGGTATTTTTTGCGTTCAGTTCCAACTCGGCCAACATTCCCAGCTGTTCCATTTCCATCTCCTCTGTCCTTGAGGGCTGACCTGTAGCACCTTTCTGACAGGTATACTTTGCCTCCTACTGCAAAGCTGCACCTCCCAGCCTTGGCTTCAAAGGGAAAAGACTATTAACTACCTGTAGTTGGCTTTGCCCACAGGAACCCCCTTGCTGATCTGTGCCACAGACTGACTCGGCCATCAGCAAAGCCAGAAGCTCTGTGGCCTCTTCTGCTCTCACCAGTGCAGCCCAGTCTGGCTCACGTAGCCAGCAGGGGAGCAGAGACATCAGTAAGGAAAACAAACAGCGAAGAGTCAGGGGAAACAGCCAGATTGATGGGAGTGTTCTGCTTCCCAAGGAAAGCCCTCCTTTTGGGTGCCCAGCTTGGCACCTGGGGGGCAGCTGACCTCGAGGTGTCACGCAACTGATGCCAGGACGTTTTTGGGCCAGGAACTTTCCCATTCCAGTGGTGGTTCTTGCTGCAGTCACACATCTGTGGCTGTCAGGAAATTATAACTAGAAATTACAGAACTCTCAGGAAATATTGTTTGCTATTGCCCAGTTTGTTGCTGCTCTGTCTGTGCTCTGCACCTGAAGCTGTGGCTGCCCCTGGATCCCTGGCAGTGCCCAAGGCCAGGCTGGACACTGGGGCTGGAGCAGCCTGGGACAGTGGGAGGTGTCCCTGCCATGGCAGGGGTGGGATGTGAACGTTCAGGCCCTTCCAACCCAAACCATCCTGGGATTCTATGAACACCGTGGGACACAAGCACGGGTGAGACACACCAGGGGAAAGGCCAAACCACCACACATTCAAAGCTTGGTTTAAACCAATGGAAAAAGGAAGTTATCTGAAATAAAAAAGGTACTTTCAGGAAAATGGAAGTTGTTCCCAAACAATAAAAATAGAAAAGGATATAAACCCAGCACACTAAGTGCAAACCCACAATAAGGCAAGGCAAAACAGGGTCTGGAGAACAATCATCAGAGTTCGTAGAGCTAATAAAAGCTTCCCCAACACAAAAGCAGGAAGCCTGTCTGTCACCCAGAGCTGCTGATAGATGGGCAAGGAGTAAAGGGGGGAATTAAGAAAGATAAGGGCACAGCAGCAAAATTAAATTAATTCCTTGCACTGCCATTCACTGTGCAGGGGTCAGCAGGGTTCATATGCCAGAGCAACAAATCACCAGAGGCCGTCAGAGCTTCTTCAAGGAGCCCAAAGATGAAATTGCTGAACTTTCTTCCTATGCATCTGAGGACTGGAAGGTGACAAATTTTTATAAAAGGCTTTAGGAGTGACCCTGGGAATGACAGACCACCAAGTCTGATTTCCAGAATAGGCAAAAGGGTAGAAAACCATGGAACTGATTAGAATTAGCAGCAATGAATACACACACCTCGGGCAGAGCCTGGAAGACAAGAGCAGAGTTTATATGTACAGATCCGAGTCGTCTGATGAGGAACCAGCCCTGCTAATACAGGAGATTTGGGCTGATACAGTGGAATCTGATTTTCTAAAAGCTTTTCTAGAACATCCCTCACTAAAGGTTCTTAAAGAAACTAAACTGTCATGGAGTAAGAGGGATTAATCTTCCCGTGAATTCCCAATAAAAAGACAGGGAAAAAAGGGCACGAACACAACATTAGCAAGGGATGGAGCAGAAAGTCTGCACTGCTTCAGCTTAGTCATGAATAATTTGCAAGAGGATAAAGCAAAGTGACACCCAGGTGATGAGGGTAACATGCAGTTTTTCAGGAAAGTCGAGTTAAGAGAGAGGAGTTCCTGCCAAATCACCCAGAGTTCAGACTGGAGCCACAGTGCCAGTGCCCATCTGTGTCACGGGCCATATAATGGGATCCATTCCTTGGGCTTTGGCAGGTGCTGTGAGCCTGGATTCCCCCACCTCAGAGGTGGCACTGAGATGTGACAACCATCCTTTGGCTACTACCAGGCTAGTTCCTGGTGAATACCTGACTCCATCCTCTGACTGACTGATGAAAGAAGGAAAGCTTTGCCATGGCTGTGAGAAATCTCCCTGCAAACACCTCCCACCTCAGAGGATCATCCTCCAAATCCAACTGCAAACGGGATGAAATCCCTTTCATTGTTCTGGGATGGATGCAGGTGGGCAGGGGCTGCTGAAGCTGCTCTCAACCTGCCCAGGAATGTGCCTGCAAATGGCTCACTGCCCTGCTCCCGGTGTCACCCTGGGGGCACAGGCCATGTCCCCTGGGTGGGGCATGGATGGGTGGACAGAAATGGCTCTGAAGCTGTCACAAAAGGACTGATTTCTGGAATAGGTACGGTGCTGGAAGGAGCTTGTCCCTGTGCCTGGCCCTGCCAGCTCCTCTCCTGGACTCCAGAATGACATGGGAACCACTCCTGCCCAGCTGGAGCTGGCAGGGAGCTTCCCTAGCACGGCAGAGAGGTTTCCCAGCTTGGCAGAGAGCTTTCCCATCATGGCACAGAGGTTTCCCAGCATGGCAGAGAGGTTTCCCAGTATGGCAGGGACCTTTCCCAGCATGGCACAGAGGTTTCCCAGCATGGCAGGGACCTTTCCCAGCATGGCAGAGAGGTTTCCCAGCACGGCAGAGAGGTTTCCCAGCACGGCAGAGAGGTTTCCCAGCATGGCAGAGAGGTTTCCCAGCATGGCAGGGACCTTTCCCAGCATGGCAGGGAGCTTTCCCAGCAGCAGCTGCCTCGAGTCTGCCCCAGCTGAGTTCCTGCAGGGCAAAGAAAGAGCACCCGACCAGGCCAGGCGGAATGCCGCCCGAGCCTCCCGCAGCACGGAGACAAGGGGGTCCCGAGCCCTGGGCAGCCCCTGCCCCCGGTGGGCCGCGGCTCGGGCACTCCTTTGTCCCCCCACATGCCCACACACTGAGGCCACTTGTTCCCGTCTGATCGCAATTAGCACCGTGCCAAATTCGAGAGGATGGGCATGTCACACCCTGCCAAGAATTACAGCCACTGCCAGCATGGGCAGCCCGACCCTTTCATTAAGCCTTTGTTTCACAAGTGAGGGCTCGTGGACGCTCTTTCTTTGTCCCAAATACCCGTGGAGGCACTGGAGGAGGCAAAGCCGTGGGCCTGGCCCTAAGGATGTGTGTGAGCGAGCCAGCCGAGGGCTCTGCCCCACTCCCTGCTCCCCCAAGAACCGTCAGTGAGCAGCAAGCCGCTGGCACCCGGCGCTGCATCGCTGCTGCGGAGCTGTGCAGGAGCGCAGCATGCCCGCCCGCAGGCAGCGCAGAGCCAGCGGCAGGGACACGGCCCTGCCTGCCCTGCCTGCCCTCCGTGCCCTCCCTGCCCTCCCTGCCCTGCCTGCCCTGCCTGCCCTGCCTGCCCTCCGTGCCCGCACAGCCGGCATTGTGAACGCCCGAGAAGGGACTGGAGACCGCCCCGATGCCCTGTGCCAGCCCCACAGCCAGCAGGGAGGGCCGTGCCCAGGGCCAGGCCCAGCCACAGCTGGTGAAACGTGCTCTTTGCTGCTTCTTGTCTCCTCTTGTCATTTGAGCATCGCTCCTGACAGGATCTAGGGATACCATAATGATGGCCAAAACATCCGCAGATTCTGCCTGCTAAGCTGGTGATGTTCCTGACGTTTCTGGGTGGTGATTCCCTTCTGCCTGGTGTTGGCCAGAGCAGAATCACAAGTGCTTTGGTCTGGAAAAGCCCCTCAGCTCACTGAGTCCAGCCATTCCCCAGCACTGCCCCGGCCACCACTGCCCCATGTTCCTAAGTGCCACATCCACACATTTTTTAAATCCCTTCAGGGATGGGGACTCCGCCGCTGCCCTGGGCAGCTGTGCCAGGGCTGGACAGCCCTTTCCAGGAATTAATTTCTCCCAGTACCCAGCCTTACACACACTCAGTAGTTTGGCTTTTGTAGGACACTCTGCTTTCCTGAAACCAGCCTGTCTGCAGCACCCAAGGCTGTTATAACCTGTACATACAGGCTGTTGTAAAACCTCAGTAATTCCAGCTGATTTCAAGGAGGATGTCATGAATTACTGAATTTGTCAGGTTAGCAGCATGAGAGCAAACTGTTCAGACAGAACAATGCTTCACAAAATGCAATTTAACTTATTTTCTTAATTGTGGGCTGATTCTGATTTATGCTAATTCATAACAGATTATGAACTCTATTATGTAATTGGAAAAATGACCATAAAACTTTCACAATGCTGGAGAGGTTTTTGGTTATTTGGATTTTTACACTCCATTGCTTACGAGGGCTGGCACACACGTGGCTGGGCCTGTGTCCCCATGTCCCCCCAGCACAGACCCGCCATCAGTTGCAGAGCACAGCCCTGCTCCACGCAGCAAATGCAGCCATTCATTGAGCACTGGGGTTGCTCTGTGAGGGACCAGGAGAGGGACACAGATCCTCCACGGAGAGGCTGAGGCACATCAGGATGTCACCAGGTGATGTCCCAGCCCTGGAACTGTCCAAGGCCAGTCTGGACAAGACTTGGAGCACCCTGGGATAGGGGAAGGTCCCTGCCCGTGGCAGGGGGTGGGACAGGATGAGCTCTGAGGTCCCTTCCAGCCCAAACCATTCTGAGATTTTATGACAAGGAGCTGCTCTGGTTGCTGGGGCTGACTGGGGCCTCTCTGGGTCACGTCCTGCTCAGCCTCCTGCCTTGGGAAGAGGATGGATGGACCAACGGCCGCTGAGGCCGGAGGGGAACACGACACCGCCAGTATCTGGGGGAGGAAATCCCCCAGCACAGCACTGCAGCAGGACATGGAATTGTGCATGTGAAATCCTGGCTGTAAGGTTTTTTACCCTGAGTGTGCATCTGACAGGGCCTGAGCAGGAGTGAGGGGCTGGGTGAGCAGCCACGGTCCAGAGGCGGCTGCTGGAGCTGTAATT